ATGTAGTGCGGGCTTGACCTGAGACCAGAAAAGAGACCAAGGGACTCTTGTTCAGCTAGACACATCTTCTGGAGGCCAAATGCATTCTGTTCAGCTCAGCCCTGGTGACATCTGGCTGGAATGTATGTTTGGGTTAGGACAGTCAGTGAGGTGGTGGTGAATCCCTGTTTTGCCAATTTGTCTAGTTCCTGGGACATCCAGCTGCTCCTTGCAGTTGTGTGGAACCCCTTGGGCCACTACTAGGGATTGTTGGAACTGTGGGCCAAAGGGACCTAGATTTTTTAAAATATATATATTTTTAGTTGTAGTTGGACACAATATCTTCATTTTATTTATTTATTTTTATGTGGGGCTGAGGATTGAACCCAGGGCCGCATATGTGCGAGGCGAGCACTCTCCCACTGAGCCACAACCCCAGCCCAAAGGGACCTATAATTTTGAAATAAATTGTCTAGAATTTGACTTTGCAGGCTCAGATGGACTTAGTCATCTAGTAGCTCATTTGAGTAGAGTGTTGAACGCCAATCCTAGCTTCTTGACCCAGCCTGGAATTCAGCTTGCTCCCTGTGGAAAGAACAGTGAATTGTCATTTGTAAAACTGAAGGTGACTCTTTGGTTTCTTCTCTTTAATCTGTGGTGTTAAGTAATGTTTTCTACAGCTATAAATATCAGATATGAAAGGTTGGGTTTGTTTTAATTAAGCCTCCTTTATCAATGATTTTATATGAAAACAAACCTACCAGGTCTTTCAAACAACCACTTTTTTTCTCCATCAAGTAAATATTTCCAAATTTTGAAATTTTGAAGAGAAATGGGTTATGAAAGTATGCTAAAATATACATAAGATAAAAGTTATTACTGGCCACTTTTAAATGTACAGGTTCAATAGTGTTGGGGGAGAGGCAATTTTTAAAGGAAAACATACACAGAATTTAGTTCAGCACTGGAAGGGGCTTATGTATTTTGTCATGAGTGTATTTGATGATATACACCAAAAATATTTGTTTAATGTACTTCAATTCATATTAGCTTGCCAGAATAATATTAACATTATACTAGACTTTCAAATGTTTCCTTTGTAGCTAAAATTAGAATCTGTGGTAACTATTTAAAATATTTTAAAAATTAACTTATTTTTCTCCCACTTACTTAAGAGCCATTTGGAATTTAAAATAAAGTATTGTAATAACATCTAAGCAATCCCAACTAAATGCCCTTTGTTTCTTGAGAGAGAGACAAGATACCAACAGTATGAGCGACAGAAAACACCCACATTAACATCTCAGATATATTATTTGTTCTCTGAATAAAAACTTAGGCACGCAGCTTTTCTATACAATAACTGGAATTGTGTACAGACCCCCTCCACACTGCTCTGAAAATGAACTTTTGTTTTTCACAGATGTAGGCGAATTAGAATGAACAAAGGCCCACAGTTTAAGGCTAGAACAATTAACTCAAAATAAGGGGTTTTTCTTCTCTTAGGAGACCAAATGTATATGTTTATGACCAACAGGTTAAGGCAGTCTTGGCATCTTTCAGTTGTGTCCCTTTTGACAGTGGCAAGTACTTTTTTTTTTTTTTTTAGAGAGAGAGAGAGAGGGAATTTTTTAAATATTTAGTTTTTGGTGGACACAACATCTTTATTTTATTTTTATGTGGTGCTTAAGATCGAACCCAGCGCCCTGAGCATGCCAGGCAAGCGCGTTACCGCTTGAGCCACATCCCCAGCCCAAAAGTGGCAAGTACTTTTTGAATACTACTGTCAAGGGATCTGGAACAAATAGGAAGAAGTCCAAACCTCTTCCTGGTCTCCTGTGCCCCAGTATCATCTGTGAAGGGGACCAAGTTCTTCCCACACTCACTATTGTAGTAGCTAGTTCATTTCAAGGTCCATTTGCTAGAGGATTGGGCCCACCAAGACTTATTCCATAGAGCTGGGAAACTGCCCCAGATCCTTAAGCAGAATTCTTACACAGGAGGAGGCCCTTCTTAGGAAGGCTGATGAAAAGATGCAGGTTACTAAAGAATGTTGAGTGTCAGGTCGGTGACTTAGAACAAAGAAGCCCACAGGGGAAAGAAACCTCAATCAGGCGCCCACAGAAACGCCTGTCAATCAGCGGGATCTCCTGCTAACACCTGTCAATCAGCAAGACCTCCTGACCAATCCTGGATCTCAGCCAGTTCCCCGACCAACTCCAGCTAGACAAGGGACTCTAAAAACACCTTTTCTTGTCCCAAGCCCTTCCCTTCCTGCCATGAGCTCCAGGTCAAGCTCCCACACGGTTTCTCCTCAGACCCTTCTCCTGTCCACTCTGTCTGATCAAGTTCCGCCTTGGAGTGATATCTCAAATAAAGCCCCATTAGGTGGCCTTTTTAAATCTGCCTCCTTTGGTCGCCGCCCGCCTTGCCTGATCTCACATTGAGGTCTAGATCCCTGAGCCTGGGCATGGAGGAAACATCAAAGACCCTTCCTCCCCACTCCCTGCACATATATGGCATGATATTAATTCTTTAATCCAATAATAGCTCCACTGAAATCTTCGCAGCAGCATAACTCTCCTGTATCTTCCATGGCTGTAGTGATTGGTCACAGCTCCAAATGACCACACTTCTGCTTGATTTGAGTTTTCTCCTCCATACTTACCTTAGCTCTCAATGTTCTTATCCACCCCTTAAATATTGATTTAATGAATTTTACAGTTTCCAACCAGATGTATGGTACCACATCTAGGTCATTTAGCGTTTCCTCCTAACCTCTTAGCCTCACTTGGATTTAGATTACTCCTGCAAAGAATGGCTCTTCAGCTGCTGCTATGTTAAGTGCAGCTTGCTTTATTCATTGCCCAGCCAATAAAAATAACCTATTAGTAAGGGTTTTTGGTTACGAACAACCAAAATAGATTCTGGCTAACTTAAGCATACAAGGAGTTATTGGAACTAAGGGGGGGCCCATGAACACAGTGGGATGAGAAAGACCCAGCTGGAACGGGCCAGGACCAAAGAATTCCAAAACAGCCCAGGAGCCATAAGAAGAGTCACATTGCTAGCCCACCCACAGTGCCACCATGACACTAAGATTGCCCCCTGAAAGCTCTCCACTGCCTTGGGAATCAAAGCTTCTTGGTTTCTGTGAGAGGTGGATGTGAGCTAAAAACTGTCCTGCCCACAGAGGGAGAAAGATTATTGCCATGAGAAAACCAAGGTTTTATAAGAATGTAGGATAATGCTGGACTCCCTAAACCCTATATATGTCTGATATAGATAAAATGTACACTGGGTATACTGGTGCAGGTGTGTAATCCCAGCTATTTATGAGTCATGAAGATCACAAATTCAAGGGCAGTCCGGGCAACTTAGCAGGACGCTATCTCAAAATAATAATAATAATAATAACAACAACAACAACAAAAGGCTGGTGATATAGTTCAGTGATAGAGTATCCCTAGGTTCAGTCCCTAGTAATGCAAAAAAATTATAATAATATGTTTGTGTATGTATATATATACACACACACATATATATAATAATTAGAGTTTATTTAAATCATAATACATGCTCATTGTGCAAAATATTTTAGCATAGTTTTTAAAATATTTTTTCTAAAATTGTGATTATATTGTATTGGTATTTTTATCATAGCCAACTTTTTTCATTTAATGTCTTGTGATCATTTTTGCATCATTAATTATTTGCACTGTGATTTTATCTCGTAATACTATGGTATATCTTCTCTGTATTTATTTTAAATCACTTAAAGAATTTCTATTTACTTTTAACCATTATAAATAATGCTGGGTTGAATGTATTCTTCTTTCTTTTCTTTTTTGTTCAAGTACAATGAAACCTTCCCATATTTGAAGCACTAAGCTAGAAGTGCTTTATGTGTACTTTTTCATTAATTCCCATGAGGTAACTACTATTATTATCTCCATTTTACAGATGAGGAACATTCTGTATGGTGGCTGTGAATAACTTGCCTAAGTTCACACAGCTGCTAACAGTCCCGTGTTAATCCAAGGTCACACAGCTAGCAGGTGGCAGAACTGGCTCTAGTGTAAACTCAGGCTTGCCTGACCCCACTGCTCAGGCTCCGAGCCTCTTATCCTCCTTCTCAAGCAGAAATCATTGGGTGATCAAAGAACATTTTCTTAGGGTAAGCCTGAAGAAGTGAAATTGAGGGAGTAAAGGCTTTTGATACACACTGTGGATCTGTCCTCTAGAAGGTCTGCACCAATTTACACCGACCCCCAGAGATCTATTCGAAATGCCTGTTTTCTATGCTCTTGGCCTACACCTTCAGAAACCCTTTGCTCAGTATCAAAAAAAAGGTGTGTATCTTGATTTAAAATTTTTTCATGTGTTATATTATAATACAATCTGCCTTCTATGATTGCTTACTGTGTATCAAGGAGAACATCAGCCCTGAAAGCGCAGATTATTATTTGTTTTGTTCACTGCTGATTCCCCAGCACCTATCCAGCAAATTGTGAGGCATACAGTAGTCATAAATAAAAATCTACTGAATAAATAGATGAATAAGTGAATGTGCTGAGCACTGAGGTCAGCACTTAACACAGATGATCTCATTTAGTCCTCACAACACCTGGATGCCTTAGCTAGTGTGAATACAATGAATTCAGGCCTGTCTGACCATCAGGTTTGGATTCTCAAGTAGGACTGCCCATCTCTCTCTCTCAGTTTTCCCTAGAATCCCCCACCAAAACAAATTCTCTGTACAACAAATAGCCTGTATTTTCAATGTCAGATCACCCCAAATACATCTCCAAATTTGGTAAAAATATTTCCATTCATTTTCCCATAATATCATAACAGACAAGCTGTCTTAGTTCATATTATGCTGCTATAACAAAATACCACAGACTGGGTAATTTATAAACAGTTCACAGTTGGTTCACAGTTCTGGAGACTAAGAAGTTCAGATTGAGGGGCTGCATCTGGTGAGGGCCTTCTTGCTATATCATAACATGTTAGAAGTTATCTCATGGCCAGAGAGCAAATGAGAAAGAGCAAGTGGGCACCATACTCACTTTTACAAGAAACCCACTCATTCATAACAACATTAACTCATTTGTGAACACTTCATTAGGCCCCACCTCCCAACACTGAAACATTGTAAGTTAAGTTTCCAACACATGAACTTTGTGGGGTATATTCAAACCAGAGCACAAGCCCTTTGATATTGTGGTTTTTGTTGTTGGTGGTGGGTTTTTTGTTTGTTTTGCTTTGTTTTATAATAATTGGGAATAAAATCCAAGTGTGCTCTACCACTGAGCTACACCCCAGCCCCTTTAATTTTTTTATTTTGAGACAGGATTTTGCTAAGTTACTCAAGATGACCTCAAATTTGCAATTGATCCTCCTGACTCAGCCTCCCAAGTCACTGGAATTACATGTCCCATGGTGCTGGCAAGCCCTTTGAATTTTTAAAAATTATTCAAAATGAGCTTTATTTATAAATTTAGCTTTGTGACTGTGCTTGTGCCTTTGATACTTAAACAACAGTTTTTGCTCCTCTATGAGAAAAGCATGCTTGATCTTGT